AGCCCCAGGGTCAGAAACAGGTCCAGAGCATTCTCAGACCTGCATGACTGACCAGCTTTCCTGTCCTGCACAATAGGTGCATTGCAAGGGAACTGCTTCCAGTAATAGGAACAAAAGTAACTTTCAAGGTTGCATGCTGAACAATTACTTTGCCACTTGTGCTTTGATGCCAAGTAGTTCAGTTTGCCAAACTTAGCTCTTTTTCATTTTAGAAGCTTAAGGAATAGAAAGAAGCTGCTCTGTATACCTTCCAGGGAGGGGATTTATTGGATGATTGCTACACTTGATGAAGCCCAGGACTACCCACTCCAGCATTTGACAGCAACCCTTGCCAAAGGATAGTATCAGACATCCAATAACTGAGGAGTACGGCTCTTTTCCCTTCCTGTGTTTTGCACCATGTCCAAAATAACCATGAGGGAACTTAGATTATACCAGTGTAAAATCTTGCTTGGCTGCAGTGGTGTGAGAGTTCAGAACTTAGTTTGCAAAGAACAAAACAAGATATTTATAATTAGCACGCTCACTTCTATACAACTGGAAGTGACTGCACTTCAAGAATTTAGTATTTAGTACAATAAATCATCCAGAAGCATTCAATTGCACCTCTCTCTTCTAAACCAAACTCGAGCATTACAAGAGTCTGTCATTGTTCAGTAAGAGAACTGCAACAGGTGAGTGCAAGCTTCATTCTAGTTTACATTCTGAAGCACAGTGTCATTAAAGACTGAAAACAGAATCCCAAGCTGAGGAATGGGAGGAAAGGGGGTAAAGAAAGAGGAGAGTGAGCAATTACATCAGATCAGACAAATTTAGCATTTTGAAGCCACACAATGTTTAGCTTTTCCTTTTATTTGTTTCAAGTTTTGGTGTAGAAAGTATGTGCGGATGCTAATGCAACCTTCCCCGTAAGTGCTCAGTCTAGCAACGAACAAAGTTTTGGTGTATTCAATTTGGTTATAAGTGTTTCCTTTAAGTGAAGACCTATAGTGCCATTGGAACCAAAACTTTGTTACTGTTGGCAAAAAAATAAAGCAACTTTTCTTTACAAGCATTTTTCCATTTAAATAAAAACCTGAAGCTTTCCCATAATTCCTTTGGTCTTCTCTCACCAAATTCCATGCTAACTCAAGACATGCCCTCTTTTGGAAGTTCGGCTGAATCGCAGTGAAGCTGCTAAAATTAACAGAGAAGAATTGCTGTGGTAGAGTTTCCCCCTAGTTTCTTGGGAGTTTAAGACTGAAAGACATTACCGATACCTCAAACAGAGGCTTCAAGTTGTCTCTACAAGAACAAGAGAAAACAAAATCCAATTAGAAGTTCCACTGAAGGTGCCTGGCAAAAAATTATCTCCATAAAACGATGTTTTGCTTCCAGTATTTTTGTATGTGTTGTGTTGAGTTTATTCCCCTCATAAGGAAACAAAAGTATCAGTGTAAAAGCACAGCTGAGCTTTTAAGGTAGCACCAGGACACCTACACCCAAGTTGTCGTCTTGTTGCTGCTAGGCCTCTTTTTGATTCACATTCACAGAATCACTTCTTGTGCAAAACAAGCAGTCTAAGGAGAAAGAATGCCCTCCAAGTTCTAATAAAAATTGTAGAAAAGAATCCAAGATAGCCAACACTTTCCTCCTCCCAAAATTTATCTGCAGAGTGAGGAGGGCATCTGTGCGTAGACAGGATAGGCAAGCCTGACATTTAGGGAATCGTTGTGTTGGACAAGGGATGTCTGCTGGTAATGAAGAACCAAATCCTTAAGTGTGTTGTACAGGTTATATGGTTCTGCAAAGCCATAACCTCTTGGAGTGCTGTAGATCACACAGTGTTTTACTTCTCCATCAGCTCTGCAAGGAAAGGAAATGGGAGAGTTTTAACATCACAGGACAAACCCAAAGTGACAGTCTATTAACAATTAACTAATGCAGCAACCCTGCCAGTCACTAAATTACATAACAGAGGAGGCAGCAGATGCAAGCAGAGGAGATTAATATAGTCTGTGAAGAAACACTGCTTCAGGGCATGTGATTAAACACTCTTACATAGTGATCCACATAAGAAGCCTCTTCTATCCCAGCAGTGCAATTCCCTACTGCGCTGTTCTCCAAATGTTACTTGAAAAAAAGTCAAGAGCTTAAGCAAGAAGATACGCACCTGAAGTCAGCAACTACTTTGTGCTCAACTTATCTGGAAACCTTTCCACTAATCAAAGAAGCCAAAACCCACAAATTCTCAGGACCTACAGAGTATTTCATGAAATACAGCACCGAACTTCAGGGTGCATTTTTTAATGTTAAGCGTGGCATGGGTTCAAGTTGGTTCATTATCTGAAGTCATAGCGACCGAGTCCCTAACTTGGCAAAGCAGTTACTGCAACACAGTATTTCCAAAGCTGCTAGAAAAACTGATCTGCCAGAAAGATTGAGTATTATGTAATCCCTGTACTGGAGCCTATTACAATCCAAGTCACATGTGGGAACAGGTTACGTGATGCCATCCCTTTGCTAGCTTGCAGTATGATACCAACCAAGCGATAGCATCTGATGAACCCCCACTTCAGTGACTGCAACAAACAGTGTCTTGAACACAGCAGACACTACAATCTTCAGTTACCTTGCAGTGATACACCTTCACGTATTCATTTCTTGGACTTGCTTTCAGAAGCAATTAACCTCATGTGAAATAAATCAGTGAAAACCATTTTGCACTCCAGAACGTCTTGAAGGATTTTTAGATAATGGAATCAAAGTATTTCTGACCTTCATTACATCAGCATAAAATGAAGTGAAACACAAGAAATCAATGCAAGGCTGTGTGAATGTCAAAAACTACTGCGCACAAATAATGTCTTCCCTGAAGCACTACCGTTATCTTAAACATACAAGAGAAAGAATCTAGAGTTGGCCATGTCTAAAAATGAGAACAGAAGATGTTACAGCTTTACAGCCCTGTTTTTCTTCTTCCCATGTGTTCCTTGGCAGAGAAGAACATGGGAGAATTTCACCTTAATTTACTTATTACTGTAGAGCTTCAAACTGGGATACTTCAGAATTTTGTACTAGCTACTTGTGGCGAATGAAGAGACTGCTAGGACTACAGCTATTGCACATTGAAAGCATGTTTTTGCAACACAGCTTTTACCATGCTAGACTTCCTGCAAACATGCAACATGTTCCAATGGGCAGGCCTAGGCTAGGTCTGGCTTGTGTTCTCCAAAATAAAGAGCTGTGGTAGAGATTTATTAATCTAGTTAGAATAAAAAGGAAAACAGACTTACACCACAGAACAAGCATAACATCCTTTCTTGCTACTCTCCCGAATTAAAAATGCTCCATCAGGTTTTCCACAGAGCAAGTCTTCTGCTTGGATACGGTTGAGGTCCCCAACAAACCAAGTTTTCTCATCATGATGTGGCAGGTTTTCATCTTCTTCATTCACAAAGTACGTGCTGAAAGAGAGGATATACATTTTAACTTCAACAATGGTCAGTAAAGGAGTTAGCAAGCAGAGTGATTTATTTTTAAAGAATTCATCCAAAGAAATACCAGAACCCACCCAAATTGGGAGGTCAGGCTCCTAATGGACATATATCAAAGGATTCAACTTAGAACTTAATTGTTTCAACTTTGTTTAATCCTAAATGTTTCAGCAGAGTTGCTGCCTCAAATGACAAAGTTCCCCTAGAGAATTTGTCCCTTTTTCTGCAGTCCTTTACTGAGAAACCAGTGTTTTGTATTACCGACCTCCACAAGAGCACACACTTTACAGAACACTTCTCAGTAAAATCATATGTATAGTGACACTTACTCATCAATATTTTCATTTTTGATCCCCAGCCAGTCATTTATTCGCTTCTGTCTCACTCCTTTGTGATTGAGCCATCTGCCAGAAGAAGAGAGCATTAATACGTTACTTCAGCGTACATATACAGGTTTTCTTACTGAGCAAGCTGAAGCTCAGACACAAGGTCCCACAAAGAAACAGTATGGAGCTTAGTTTGTTCTCCAGCAGCAAAAGCCATAGAAAGACCATAGATTCCATATGAGCACTTTCTTGTATCATCTTCTGAGATGCCTCCTTTACTGGACACAGCAAAAAGGAGCCATGAAGCAGCCTCTTAAATGGAGAAAGGAGGGTTAAGCTGAAGAAGAGGTTCTGCCTCTGCACAGTGCAGTCCAGAAAAGAATACAAATTGTGACAGCTATTTCTCTTGGGAAAACAAAACAAGTATTGTCACTGGCTTCTTCTAGCCTCCTAACATCACCTTCTGAGACAGAGTGTTTCTCTGTCTTCTTCCAGAATCCTAACGCACTGAGTCCAGCCCAAGGAAATTAGGAGCTGGATAACAGGGCTATCAGTGAAATCAAGGGTGGGTACAAGCAACATCTGCTGCACCCAGCACAAGTAGTACTAACCTCTGTTGTATCAGCAAGAACAGGTTTTGTTTATAACTTGTTTATCTTAAATGTTTTATTTACAGGAGTTGCAGAATGCGCATCTAGTTGTGGCAGGCTCTTAAGTCTGACAACAGCAAAATAAAAGGAATGAAGTCGCAAAGAGACAGCCAATTTACTCAGACATCTCATGCCAGAATGTAGTACCTTAGTACTCTCAGAACTTTGGTTACGAACAGAAAATTAAACTCCCATTATCCTGTTAGAAGCAGTCATTAATCAGGTTCACCAGAAATACTATTCTGAGGTACAGGTCAGGTTTACTTACACAAGATACTGATCTCTGATTTTGCGGAGCTGAATTAGGTCAGGCTTGATACTATTCATTTTCTTATCAGTCTCCCTGTTATCCAGAGCTTGTTTCTTCAAATCTTGTTCCAGGCGCATTTTACTATCATGGATCTCACCCAGGCGTGATTTTAATTTTTCATAGTTCATCATTATCCTGCAAACATAAGTAGTGAGGTCAAACCAGTCTAGAGGACTGAACCTTACCAGTAGCACTTATATAACAGTATCACAAGAACTACCACAACAGCAGCTCCTCCCTTTGACTGCCTCATTTTAACAAGAAAACTGCTGTTAAGAGTGCCAGAAAAGACCTCTTGCCAGAGGGCCTACCATCCTTTTGCATAGTTTGAACCTTCAGTTTACCTTAATATATTTCCTTTTGGCAGAGACGCAGGAACAAATATCTCTAGGAGGATAAGCCAGAACAGATTCCTCCTTCACTGTCAGATTCATTTTTTGGTATATCAATTACACAATCCCAGCATAGGTATCAGTACTAGCAAGATTTCAAATGCAGACTTCAATTACTGATCAAGAGCTACCAGGAAGTAACACTGCCTATCTCTTCATTCAAGGTTAGTTTGCAGTTTTGGTAAAATTCAGGAGAATAACCTATTTTTCCTGTTAATTGATCTTTAGTCAAAATGAAGGACCACAATTGCATAGTAAGATTGTGACAGGTAACTGTTTCAGTCTAAAAATCTGCTTAAGGTTACTCTACCATGATTCATAAAGCACTGAGTCAAGTTAGGCATTATACCAGGTATTTCTTCAAAGGCCCAGATACAGCTTTTTCTCCTAGTATCTTCACAGAAGGGCAATTTTAATTGAGACCATTACTGAATTTCTTTTAGATGACCACTATCCACTACCAAGTAGTGGCAATTAAATACTGATCTTCTTTGAAAGTGACTAAAATTGACTATGGACTATGAGATTTACCAGATCTATGTCCATTTTGCAGTTTACAAGTAAAGATTTTTCTAAATTATATTCTGAACAAATCCAAATAGAAGTGGGATAAGCAAATGCAACCATTATTTCCTGATCCTCATCACAGTATATTGGTTTACTGAAGTCGAGAGAATAATCCAGAGATCTTCCACCTCTTCTGTCTACAATCCGATTCCTCAACAGAAGAGGGCTTTACTGAAGGTTCACATGCCGTGAGGGAAGGTCTCAGAGACAATACTGAGTTTACAAAGTGTTTTATATAATGCAATGTTACATAAAAGAATTTCATGGAAGTGTCCATGTGGATATTAGTTCTTCCTTGTAAGCAAACATGACTTGAGCGCCTACCGTTCAATTTCTTTGTCATTCCCCTCCCTGCGAAATCGCTCTATGTATTCTTTGCTGTATCGCTCTTGCGAGTGGCACTGTTCCTCAAATATCTTAATAGTTTCATTAAATGCTTCAATTGCGGTCCTCTTCATCTGAATTTCCTATGTGAGGAAAGAGTCCTTCATCATTTGTTCATGGTACAGATGACAATGCAAGACTCGATTATGTTCCCTAAATTGACTGAGAACATGAACTTTTCTCTTCCCCCACAAGTCAAAAAGTGATTAATCGGTCTGAAATTTAGTCAAACGCCCAAGTAGAGTCAGGGAAGTATAGAGAAGACTTACTCCCTGTAAGTCTACCCTCCTCCCCCCACATGATGCTCTCTATTAGGCTGCAAACCCCTCAAATATTTTAGTCATATTTTCCATCTTAGTTTGCAGGAAGACTGCCAGCAAACTGCCTTCCCATATATGAACTATCTTATTTTACAAGAAGCAGTCCAAATACTGTATTCGCACTTCCTTAATGCATAATATCTGGTATCTGATTTGAACACGACTTCATAAAACCTGGACAAACCCCTCTGCAACTCTCACTGCAGCACACAGCAGCTGGAAATACTCAGCAGTCAAGGAAGAAGACTGCAGTGCAAAGCTTGTAGGTGATTATACTTATTCCTACCTTATACTAGGAAGCTCAGCTCCCCTTTCTTCCTTGTCCCACACCATACCTCCAGGACTATGAGCAACAAGTCATATTCACTGTTTCCATCAACTTTGAAATGATCTTGCTCTATTCCACAATTTACTAAGTTTTTTCCTTGTATTTTCTGACCTTGGACTGCCTTTATTAGCCATAACAGGTTAAAATAGTTTTCTTTACTTTTTAAAAAACAAGAAACAGACTCTACAGATAGCTCAACTAGAACTAACCTGTGATGTTCTGGTATATTCTTCATATAATTTGTCGTACTCTTTACTCTTTTCCTGATACTGAGCATGGTATTCTTGAAGCTTTTTACCTACTGCATCTATATTATCTTCTTTCACCAACTGATCCTGTACATACAAAAAGCTATTAAGTCTTCAAGCAAAGCAGCTTTTCCTTAAGAGTATTCATTTGTCCACTTATGCACATTTGCATTTTACAGCTATTAGCATCATTTTTGTAATCAGGTTTCTACAGAACATAAACCACTATCTAAATCCCCCTTCCTCCATGCAACAAGTTCCACAGTTTACAGACAGGAAGAACTGGAACTATGGGACACCAAGAACTATGCCAAATTACTAAGCTTCCAAAAAAACACACTACAGCCTAGGTCTAGACCAATATCCTCTATTGAAGAAAGGAAGAAGTGAATTGCTTGAAATCTGAAGCTAAAGATCAGAGTTTTTTTTTTCCCAAAAGCTCTACAGTCCTTTTTCCTCAGTGCCGGACAACGTCTCGGGCTGCTGAATAAAACTTTAAAAATATTCTTGAAAAAATGTAGATGGCTGTGCAGAGTGAGCAGCTGCATGGCTCATATGTGCTTCAAGGGCAACACTGTCTAGAACAGCACCCTGTGGGTTCACGAGGGTCCAAGGGGGGAAAAAAAGGCTTCTCAGAGAAGCTCAAGTCTGCTGCATGTCAGGGTTTTGCTTCTCTATTGGACTGATTAGTTGGAGACCAGAAACTTCATAAAATGGAGAAGCTTAATTGGCTAGACAATGTGGAAGATCCAGTATTACAAGCAAAGTGAAGACAAATGTGAAAATTCACTTTTTTCAGTTAAAAAAAAATTATGCTTCACAGAGAAAATAAAATCATATACACAGTTGCAATTTCTTTTCTTGTCTGCACTAATAATTATTGGTGTCCAATGAAGATCTTACCTGCTGGTACCGGGACACTGGATACATCAACTTCACATCAAGCTTCGGGTTATACTGAGCAAGAGACTCATTGCGGTAGTGGTTAATCAGTTCCACAACTGAATTAAACGTCAGTGGATCAGAGAAGCCGTATTTTCCATCCCGATGATAGATTTTTATCAGTTTATTGTTGCCACCCTTCCTGTAAAGCAGTACAGTCATTCAGAGGTTTTACTCTGTACCTCCCATCCCTCTTCAACACTAAGGCTGCTAACAAAGACACTAGTGACATTCCTGGGCAAGTGGCTTTGACGCTGTGCACCTTCACAGTGATTCTCTACAGGTATTTGTTGTTTAAGAGTCAATACACAGAATTATCAGCAGATATTATTTGAACAGGAACAAATCCCAAACTAAATCTCTTCTTATGCGTTCATTCTGAAGCCAGCTTATGGTGTTTAGGACCTAGCTTTGCCAGAAGTTTTGCAAGGGAAAAGGAGGATCCTGAAGGCTGAATAAAGGAGCCGTATGAAAACCCAAACCCACAATTTCCTGCAATTTGAGGTTACTAATAGTATACAAACGAGTACACATTTATACAGTGATTAACAAAACTATCGAGTTATGGATGCTAATACAGGATACCCAAACCTAAACAAAATCCTTACAAGATGGTTTTAAGTTTAGGACTCTACATTAGCCAGATTTATACATTCTAGTGGTTTCCACAAATACAGTGCTTATTTCTTCCTTTTTTTTTTCCACCAACAGACTGTTTAGACAATATCCTGTCCTTCCTGCACTCTCAATTTTGGTTCCTAAAGACTTCTGCATTCAGCAAAATAAACAAGTCATGCCAAACCTTACTGCACAAGCTGTGAACTTCAAGGCAGGAGTCAAAGCAGAATTTAAGCTACACTCTTGGGGTCAAACCTGCCATTAAGACAACAGAATTTCACAGCAAGATCAAATATCTGCCACATCATAGTAACTCTCAAAGGTGTGCTACAGAGACAGTGGCTTACACACCTTGTCCGTTTGTTTGCCTCTAATAATCAGCCTCCGGAGCCTGGCAGAGGCAAGCGGCTGGACAGGCTGGGCAAGGCACCAGCAGCTAGTCACATGAGGTCTGCTGTCTTAACTGCAGTAGACAGGACTGGGGCAGCTCTGGGAAGTCTGCCACTTGCAGACAATTTTAATGAAGAAAGGAACATGGCTCCAATTCAATATTTCCTAAACTTTAGATCAGAAAGCACAAGATACTCTTTTTACAAAGACACTGTGTTCAATACTCCGGAGCTGCACGCTGATGAGATATCCAACACACTCCCATTAATCAAAGCCCTAGTTTATAAATACCTTTTACCTTAGCAGTTCTAAAACTATGAAGCATTACTGAGTGGCTCTTCTCCCTGAGTCTCATCTAATCTACACAGAGATCCTTACAGTAGTGCTGAGTGAGGGATAGGATTCAATGCACAGAACAGAACCAGCTATGGAATCTGGCTATTTATTTGCTCATTCTGTGATCTGCAGTACCTTTGGGAACATCTATCAACTTGAGCCACGTCAGCTTTACACAGCCACTGCTGTCACTGGTATAGCAACTACCTACTTAGGGTTTTACTATGTGAACTACAACTGCTGAACACTTACCGTAATGTCAGAGTGTAGTCTCCCTGCATCTTGGTTGATGCATCGCGCACCAGGAATGTTCCATCTGGCATGTCTCGTAATTTGTCATTTACTTCTTCCCTGGAGAATGGAAAGGAAGGCAAAATTAGAAGCATTAAGGACACAATCTTTGCCACAGGTATCAATAGCGGAGCCAGTAACACCAGCATACGTAAGGAGTTTGATCTTCAAAACGTCAGGTAATCTTCTTTCACACTCGGGCTCTCCAGTCTTTTAGGCCATCTGAACTTGTGCAGTTACACTAAAAAAATAGCAGCTGCAGTCAACCGCCACTTAGGAAGAAGTCTCTGTTTAAGCAACAGTAGTGGCTGTGTCTCAGAGTTCACAAACTTTCCTTGTAATGTGCTCAGGTTTTAAAGTCCACACTGGAAACAGGTGCCCTTTGAGAAGCCTGTCCTGACCTCTCAAGAAACAGGCTCTAGCATCACAGCTCAAAGGTGTCTAGACTTTAGCACAGTTCTAGTCTCAGGAGACTCATTATTGGCTTAACTCCCATCTTATTTACAGCAGTTCTAAACCACTACAACCTTGCTAGCTTCAGTGCAACTTTTCTTTATTTACAACTGAAGCAAAAGGATACTCAGTCCAGAGCTTTAAGCTAAATCAAGCAATCTTTAAGTGAAAGTGAGTACCTGTAAGCATTAAGAAAATGATTTCAGCTGAAGAGTTAAGTGTCTTGCCAGGTTTGACCATTTCACCCAGATTACATATCTCCCTTTATAAGGGCTCCCTCACAGGTTTTTAGAAGCACTAGGCACTTTTTAATACAATTACTTGGAAACCGAAGCTTATCAGGTAGCCTCAACATTATCTAAGTGAAGTAGGAAGCCTACTTGAATCTTACAAAGAAAAATCAACAGCAGCTTTTTGTTCAAATACTAAGGAACAAAAGTATTCTTACAAAATAGCCTTAGTTTTGATTTAGCTACCTGAAAACCATTCTGTTAGTAAAACTGACTCCTATTAAATATCATGTGCATATCCACTTACTCAGAACATTTTACAGATTGGACCTAGTTAACTCAAACAGCCGCCTCCTTTTTGAATGGACAGATACGATCTAAGGGCTTGGGCTTATGCCTGCAAGTTGCACCCTGGAGCTTGCGACAAAGTTTTCAGCCCAAGTTCTCGACTGAAGAACACGGCTCCTGCCCTGACAGCGCAATGCAGTTCGTACCTGCTGGCTGTCAGATCAGGGTCATAAACAATTCCATCTTTAAACGTGTGTGTATCACATTTAAATCTAATAATGCCACTCCAATATGATTTGTACTGCATTAGCTCCTGCCATCACATGCACTGTTAATTGAGGAACAAATCCACAGTCAATAAACCAATACCGAGCAGTTTTAAACAAACCCTGCCTAGTGAGTTTTGGGATTGGGTTTTGCCACTCTGCTCCGATTTAGAATTAACAGAAAAATAACACTGCCAAGGCCCTTCAAAAGCAAGATCTACGCAGGTTTGCTTAAAAAGATAAGGGTGGTACAATAAAGATATGAAAACTTTATTTCCCTTCTCAGCACTTCAATGAACTACTGTGGCAAACACGGTCTTCTTGCCTTTATCTGACGAAGTGTTTCAAAGTATTATGTGCACAAGCTTGAACAATTCCTGATCACACCCCCAGCAAGCTCATATTTCCCCTTAAAGTTCCAAATCCTAGACTCTTCAGAAGTGCCTTAAGAAGGAAAGAGATGACTGGACACCAGTTCTTTTATGCAATTAAGTATATTAGACACTGGCACTTCATTTTCTGAACTTAACCCAAGCCATCTATTTTCTCAAGTGCATAGAAAAGGGTTTCCTTAAGAAGTAAAACTTACTTTATTTGGTATGAGTCTGTATCATCTGCTTAGCATAGCTGGTGATGGTTGCCATTTGTAAGAGCTATTTTTATACCACCATGTAATAGAAATTAATACAGACACAGTTTTAACCAAATGTTAAAGAAACAAAAAATAAGAATGCAACTCCTTTTATTCTGAGCAAGCCTCCTACTGAAAGTTTGCTGAACTGCATGAATGCCAGCACTGCACGCTTACAAAACCTTATTAGCTAGCACATTCAGCAGCACTTTTCTTTTGAACGAAATAATTTTCTCTTTTTTTAAAGACTTTGTGTATCTTGAGAAATTCAGAAACCCAAAATAACTGTCACCGAGACAGGCAATATCTGCTCCAGAACAGCTACACAACTTAAACATAAGTCCTGAATCCAGTCAAATACCTGCATTTAGGTGCTCTGCCAAGTATAGTCTTGAAGCATTTCCCTCCTGTAAAATGCTTCCTGAAATAAGCATGTTCGTTTTCTCTTAAAGTCTAACAGGCTTATTCTTTTTTTAATAACATATATTAATATATTTTAATTAATATATTTTAGTAATATTGCTTACCTTGAGATGTCCCCCCAGTACCACTCTGCTTCCTGCAGAGAGAAACTGGAATTGTCCTTCATTCCATTCGTATTGACTGAAGTCATTGTTTTGGGGGGCTTTGGAGGAAGAGCTGAAAATGAAGAATAGATCAAAGAAAGGTAAACAGGGGAAATAATCACTAAACTGTTAATGAAATACGACAATGAAAAAGGGAGAGAAAATGCAAATCTTGAACTTGGATTTCAAGCGCTCTCAAAGTAAATGGAATTTGTAATTTTTAAAGAATTTTTAAGTCAGCAGCTGCACTGTGATCCTGGATTTCCTAGTACTCAAACCAAACCTGCGCTTGAGGGAGGGGAAAAGGAAGGAGTATGAGGAAACATGAGTTTTTGTTAAAAGGAAGACTGGCTCAGGCATGTCTGTAAGGGCAATCACCACCTAAACCTCCAAACAAGTTAAAGGTGTATTGTGTTTGAAAACCACAGCCTGGAGAGCACTGTGCACCACTATGGAAAAACTCCAGCATCACCAGCCCTTATGGCAATCCTTAAGAGCAAATGGGTGGGCTTTTCTGCAGAGGGAAGAACACTGCTAGTGAGAGAAGCGGTGCCTGGGCAGCAGTATATCCACCACAGACTCAAGGTTCATGTCTCATCCTAGATTTCCCATTTAGGCTCCTGTCAGGAACACAAGCTATGACTCTTTGATTACTACAGGACATGAGGTGATAAAGGAAGTGGATAAAGGAAGGGGAAAGGGGACATTAGGTCATTATTAGAGCGTCTGCACCACTTTACATAGCTGAAATGTTTACCATAGGAAAGGGAATGCTAAAAAGTCTCCCAGAGACAGGCAGAACTGCACATCTGTAGGTCTAGTGCATACCTGCCCAGAATTTCCCTGTTCTGAATTCAAGGCAAACAGGCTTTTACTTCTGTTCTCAAAACAGGTTACACAATATAAGTTGCATACAACCCACTGAAGCTCTTGATTTGGTCAGTTTTTGCTCAAACAGCTTTTCCATGGTCTTGAACGTAAGCCCTCTATCAGGAGCATTCAGCAGCCACAGGCATGCTCATGTATTGGTAGAGACTTGTCTGTCAGCAGAAAAGCATTACGCTATTTTCTTCGAGAAAGACGTCTTCAGTGTTCACCCCTGCTTTGCAGAGGCTGAACGCTTCATCAAGAACACTGCCACTGAAACTGAGCACTTCTCATGCACTTCATAAGACAGTGTTTTACAGGGACAAGTAACATTTGAATTCAGAGTAAGGAAGCTGCTACACACATTGTTTTGCTACTAGCACATTTTTAAGTCAGACCCTGAACGTTCGTGCTCCCAAGCCATCAGATTACACAAGCATCAGTGAGCAGGCCTGACACACTGACAACAGTCATCTTTCAGACACACACAATTGCAGCGTACAAGCAGAACTACAACTAAAGGGAGCAGAAAGAAGATTTTGATCTCTAGCCCCAGTGCAGAATGGCATAACACTGAGGGGTGTGCTACTTGGCACCATCCATCTGCACACCTCTGAGCCACACCTCCCACATTAAAGAAGAGAAAACAGTGTTCCAACTGCAGTTTCAAATACCATTTCATGTTGGATATCCGACACAGTAACTTCACTGTTCTCAGACAAACCAGGAGATACTTTAATTGAGCCAACATAAACTAAATCTGAACCTTGACCCAGACATTTGCACCCTGGGGTTGCTGACCAAACACCTGATTCAGATACCAGCATTCATTCTCCGGGACTGAGCATTAAACTGTAGCATACAGGTTCTTTTTATGGAGTGAGCTGGGAACTTTCAGGTGTGCACATATAACGAGACCTGTTATTGCCTCACTAGATAAAAGGAAGGTAAAAACCTTTGGATTCACTGAAGTAGCTTCCTGGTTAGGAGGCTTCAGTTACTCCTAGCTCACTTACTAGAGTTGTTTGTATAGCACCTGAATATTTGTACAAAGCACCATTGAGAGTAAGACACAGTTCTAACCCCACTCTGCTTGAAGCTCCCAGCCCCATCCTACTTTTGCAAGTTCAGAGGAGCACCTATCCAGGCTAAGCCTGAAGAATCAATTGTATTTACCATGCCCTGTGCTGTTCCATCTTCCCAGTTCAAAGATCCTGAATTAGAAAGTGTCTTCAGGTCCTCCCTCCTCCCACCTCATGTCTGGGCTGTGCTACCCAATGTACTTTAAGTGACAAGATAGACACAGCAGTTTTGAGTCTCATCAGTGTCTGCATAGGGCAGTAAAACCGACCTCAGAAAACTTGTAGATGTTCCCATCTACTCCAGAATCTTTCATAGATTCTGTGTCATCAACAAGTGCGTGAAGACTCATGTAAAAATAACACAATAGCATGGAGCATTCTCAGAAAACTATACCAGCACCAGCAATTATTTCACTGGGTTTTGTAAGTTAAGGCTTGGACATATCAAAAACTTGAAGGTATTTTACAGTCTAAAAGCCTGTTTTACACTGGTAATAGGGGCTTTCCAGAAGAGGCTTTCAAGTGTTCTCTAGAGTACTTGAATACTTCTCTAGCCCTCCTTGCAAGATTAAGCCTTGTTCCTTTATATACTGTGGAATTATTTAGCAGCTTTGTTAGGGCTCACTCCAAAGCACTGGGCACAGAAAAGCCAAGTAACAACGACCAGAAAGGTGAAGAACAGGAGTTTAGTGTATGGACAGAGTACTAGACATTACACCAAGTGTCCTTCCTATGGGTGAGTTTTTTTCCTTCTTTCCCTTAACAGGTAGGTAACAGTTGTCACTGTCAGGGGGTTGTCTCCGGAACTTCATTCTGCACAAGAAAATTGGAAGGAAATTCTAGGGACAAGAATAAGGCTTGGACCAGTTCCTGTAAAACCTGACTCATGGAAGCCAGTCCTTTTCGCAACAGACTTTTGAAAAATGCTTTTTAATAGCTTGCACATTTAAAAAACACGAGAGTATTTGCAAGGGTGGATCCTGTTTCCAGAGAACTACGGATCTAATTCTTTACTTTCAATACTTTGAGCCATAATAGATTTTCCTGACTTGGATACAGAACCAGGCCCTTGCTATGGCTTTATCCAGTAGACTGACATGCCCACCCATTTCAGAGTTTCTTGGCTACCCTCTCAGTCTGATATGACCATAGTCTGTACAAATGGAGAACTGAGCACGAAGGCAGTTTAAACCCCACAGCCCAGAAGCTGTGATGACACAGGGGAGCATTTTGTACTAGCATGGCAAGTCTACTGTAACAGTGCAGCATCCACCCTACTGCTGCTCTCATAACACTGGCCCAATGGGTTGCTGGAAGAAGCATCCTAAAATAGTTTTTACTAGTACCTAGACAGTATTCATCACCTTGCTAGGAGAAATCCTGTGATGTTCTACGAGATGCTACAGAGAGCCTTAAAGAGTCTACAGATTCTGATTTAAATTCAAAAAAATCCGGTTTTAGATACCTTGATGAACATTACAGAGCTAAAAATCCTAGAGTAAACAAAATAAGGCTGGCTTGAAGTCAACAGAAATGCTTTCAAGAGCAGCCGTGTTTCTTTCCATGTCACTGGGTCCAATTCTGATCTAGCCACAGGCACAATCTTACTTTATCTCTAAACAAGTTCTGATTAGAGTGAACGATCCTGATGGTTTCTTGCCTCCTTTTTCCTGGGAGAGAAAGAACATTGATCTCAAGTGATTAACAGCACAACGGATCTATCCATTCTAATAAAGAACTTGCTGTTAGCACGATACACGAGCATCCTTCCCTTACAGATTCTCTAGGACAGCTTTACGGCACAGATCTTTCCAAAACCCAAAAGGCAACAGCTCAGCTGGACCCTTCTGCTCCCGCAGAAGTGCATTTCCCCAGATCAGGTCAGCCTCCAGTGACCGCCTGGCACGCAGTGGTGAGAGCAGACTGGCTCTCGCTCACGCGCTAGCAGGCATCTCTGGTTTTTCCTTTCTCTAGCAGCTCCAGTCCCCTCTTTCTAGCTTCCCCAAGCGGGATAGCTTGAGCTCAATCCCCATCCCAGATCAGTGTCACTTAGAAGGGGAGAAATAAAAAGAGCTGGTGATGGAGCAGAGGCAGCAGCAGCCAATGCGGGCCGGGGCCGGGATCGGATGTTACTGACGTCAGGGCGATGAAGGCTGCTGTGCCGGCTCCAGCAGGTACCTTTGGCTGAGCCACTCTGCAGATCTGCGGAGCAGGTCCTTAGAGAGAAAAAAATCTATTGATTAGGCTTTGCCAAGGTAATTTTTCTGATGCTTTCTTGACTGCATTGAATTGCTTTTTCTAAAAGGCCACTCAAGATTTAACTGACATGATTCCCTGAAATTCAAAGTACCTCCAACACCAAGACAACCGAAAAAGCTGGCAAGTGTCTGAAGTTTAGCAGTGTTGTGGTTTTTTTTGTTGTTTTTTTTTTTTTTTAAACTAAGGTCTTTTGTAGAAAATAGTGGGCTATATTAATCCTGAATTTAACTTCAAAGTACATCGTGACTCCCATGAGATATGCACTTTTCCCAGTCAGGTTTTGAATCAAAAACTTCACAAGTTTAGATGACCTAAGAGCCACCGAGCCCTATCTGTGAGGGTTTTCAATGGCACTAATTCAGGCAGAGTGAAAAAAGATGAATGTCTTGGGTCTCCAAGTGCTACATCCCACATGGCATCCAGTCAAGCAGCCTGTTTCTTCTCTGGCTGCAGTATTTGCACACAAGATAAACCTGCCAGTTAATTAAACTCTAATTTGCAGTTTTAAGGCAGATGCCACTTAGTCTAAGAATGGTTCCATAACTTATTTCTTCTAGTGTTTTCCAAGAGCTGTACACCAGATACTTAAAAGCATAGCAGGTTTAAATGCAGTATAAACTCTATCTTACTCTTAACGAATAATCACAGCTACCAAGTAGTGTCTATTGATAAAGTCAATTTCAAGTCACTCAGCACTTCCATGAGCTTGTTTACTAGCCTTCTTTCTGATGCTCTCAATCTACTCTCCTTCCACATTGTGACAAGCAGAAAACCGATCAGAGGATTTTGGAGACAGTTCCTGAGCTTCAAAAAGGCTGGCATTCAGTAGATACCCTACAAATTATAATATAAAGCTCCAAAAAG